ATAAGAATGTCACTCTCTACCAACTCTCTCTCTCTCTCTCTCTTATAAATTACAAGAATGCCATATCTCCCCTTATAAATTACAAGAATGTCACTCTCTCTCCAATTGAGGGAGATCTCAACTTGGCATCTCGACTGCTAGGGGACCTGCAATCAAAGGTAGTCGAATTTGAGCTAAACCGAGCTCGAACTTCTGAGCTCAAGCTCAAGTCTCTAGTTCAAATCGAGCTCGAGCTAGACGACACCTTGACCACTGAGGGAGACCTTGGCTCAGCACCTCGATCACTAAGGGAGATCTCGACTCAACAATTCGACAACTAAGGGAGACCTCAGCTCAACACCTTGTCAACTAAGGAAGACCTTAGCTCGACACCTCGCCTGTTAGGGAACCTCAGCTCGACACTTTAGTAGTTGAGGGAGACCTCGATTTGGCACCTCAACAATTGAGGGATACCTTAGCTGCTTGAGAGACCTACAATCAAAGGTAGTCGAGTTTGAACTTTCAAGCTTTTGACTTGAGCCGAGATCGAGCTCGAGCTCAAATCTCTAATTCGAATCGAACTCGAACTTGATAGTTTATGAGCGAGCCACTGCAACGCAGGGCTTCCTCCGCTAGTACATTCATTATAATAAACAAAATCAAGTGCAATAAAATATAATCCATGAAATGATGGAGATGTCTAAAAACATAAAAAAAAATAAAAAAGAAACAGAAAAGGTATAAAAACTAACATCTAACATGTGACCCATTATTGGACCAAATGGTTAAGTGGTTTAACTAGATACGCCACTAAGGCTCAGTTTGGAAAGAGTACAAACTTCCTTCACATCAACATTAAATCATACTCTCCTTGCACGACTTCCTCCACAGCCAATCATAGGACACCGCATCAACATTAAATCATGTGCACATCTCTCATGTGCCAGTGCCAGCATTAAATCATGTCTTTCTCTTATGAGTCGATTCCTCTTGTCTATTATCTCTTATTATTTCCCAAATTTTCATTCTTTGACTTCATTGTCATCTTATTTGTTGCCTCTCGTCTGGTAAAAAAATCTAATTAGCAGGGGTACCTAATTCATTCAATCTGATTACAGCAGATTATTTCATCCCTTCACATACTTGATACCATTTCAGAGACGGGGAGAGATCTCACGGTCAACAGTACCAAAACACTTAATAACAAAACAAAATGTCAAAAAATAAGAGAAAAGGTTAAGACGCCTATTAATGATCCTTGCACATTGCACATGTGAGGTGTACACATGATTCAATGCTGAGGTGGCACACTGCTATTGGGAGTGCAGGGAAGTGTACATGATGCTATGTGCAGGAGATCCGGACTCCCAATTACAGCCCTACTAAAAACCTAATTAGGTGACAGGTCAGCCGGTCCGATTGGCTGGGTCATCCAAGGATTGAAAACATTGCTATAGAAGTTAAAGTCTCAATAAGATTTCATCCTTCTACCAAGAAAAGAGACTTGGTTCATCCAAAAACACTTTCTTACCCACTATTCTAGGCTATTGCAGAAAAGATCTAAACCCTTATTAAAGGATCAAACACAAAATATCTAAATTCAACACAAGTACAACACTCTAAAGCATCAAGTCTGTTAGACTGTCTGGCCGGCCTTTGTAGCAAGCCAACGATCAACAAGCAACGACTGAGCTTTAGTCAAAAGCCACAGCTCTTCTCGGCCAGTGCCGACACCCAACAATTGTTTTACCCACCAACATTCGGTCTTTCATAAGGATTCAGGTGCTCAACGATAATATGGCATCTTCTTCTCTACTTGCTGCTGGCCGCAACTCAGAACGAACAAGGTTAACCAGTAACCATTAATATTACCTCTCGAAGTCTCGATGGGTTCGTCCACTCCCATTTTCATTTTACCTTAAATCTATCAATAATATCTATACACTATTTCTCGGGATCTATTGGCCATCTTTTCTCAGTCTCTCCTCCATCTATAGAAGAAAATACACTCTCAGTCCACTGTTACAACCAGCGTTAGTCAATGGCTCCATCGCCTAGTGGTCTAATACCTTGCAGCCTCTTATGTCCTGTAAGTGAAACCACACTAGTGGATAAGAAAAACAAAATACTTTGCAACCTGAAGAGTGGACTATGATATGGAAAATATATGATATACGAAAAATGTCTGACCAATCAACTGGAATTAGAGGTGTCAATTGGGCTGGATTTGGTTCAATCCGATCCAGTCCAATGTGAGTTCATTATAAATGGATCAGGTCCAATCCAATTCAATGAATGTTTTGGACCAATTTGGGCCGGTCCAATTCAATGTCTGGACCGTTCAATCTGTTCAAATTCATTTTGATTTTGATTGGTTTCAACCCAAACCCGGTCCACTGACACATATATTCTTATCTTATATCAATGGACCAGATATTGGCTTAATCCAACCCAATCCAATATAAATTTGTTATGGACGGACCATGTTCCATCCAATCTAATAAATATTTTGGACCGGATTGGTCCAATCCAATATGTCTTGTTGGTCTGTCTAATCCGTCCAAATTGATTTTGGACTGGACGAGGTCCAATCCAAAACCGCTCCATTGACACCCTTAACTGGAATCATAAACATGGTAGCCAATCATGTGTTATTTATCAAAATTCATGGATAGATTGTGATTGGTCAAAACTCTTTTGGTACCAAGTCTTTCCCGCATCATAGATTTTCCCCAGGTGGATTGGGCTCAGTTTGGAAGAAGTACAAATGCAAATATGTAGAAGGAAAAACCTTATGTTTTATATTATTTTATATATATTTACACTGTACATATTTGCATTTATACTCTTTAGGGTCAGTTTGGAAGGAGTATAAATACAAAAATGTACAACAAAATATAAGTTTTGCAGTCTACATATTTGTATTTGTGCTCTTTCCAAACTAAGACATATTGAAATTCTATTTAAATTCTTTCTCATTAGGCCCAAAAACGATTGTAAGCCTGCCCGGGCAGGCCCATGTAGGCCCGGGCTTAGCCTTTGCCCTTGGTGCAAATCAAATCTCACCTTAAATATGTATGTACTACATATTTATAAGGGATAAATATGTATGTACTACATATTTATCCCTTATATTAAACATTATAAATATTTATATGATATTGATATATGTAAATTTGTACGCTGGGTTTTGACAGGGTCTGACTACTCAACCTAAAATTAGATCTGGCACGCAAATTACAATTTCTGTTATGTTTGGTTTGAAGGAAAAGGTAGGGAAAGGAAGAAAAAGGTACGGAAACTTGTACAAGATTTATAAAGATTTCCCTACATTTTCCTTCCTTTCCTTATTTTTTCCTTCAAACCAAACACAGCCTTAATAATCCTAACTCAATACTTCAAAATGATACAACCCAATCCAAACTATTGGGCTAAGCAGCCCAAATTGCACCCTAAATGTGAAGCCTAGTTAAAGAGGAATAACCAAGGCTGTGTTTGGCGTGTCTTTCCGTGTAGTTTTTCGGTTGTTTACAAGTCAGAAAGACCGATTTTTGGTCTATTTCCGTTTGGCGCATGAAAGATCTAGCCGCCAAAAGATGGAATGTCGAAAAAACGCAAAAAACCCATTTTGGGAAGTTCCAAATGAAGCTTCTCGTGTCTTTTGCGTTATATTCTCACACGGAAAGACGTGCATTTGCCAAACATGCTTCGAGCTGCTCAAATCTTCATAGCTCAATACGCCTTTTGACTGTCAAAGCTACCAGAAGATCTTCCAAAAAAAACACGCCAAACGGGCCCCAAATCTATCAAGATTTCTTATCAATAAGACACTACCAAACATGCTTACAATATATATCCCCACAAAAAAAAAAAAATCTATAACCGTATCATGGTTCAAAATTTCGCAACGTATTGGACCGCATCGACCGATACGTATCATTCCAGTATAAGTCCGATACAAGGAATGCATAGAAACTATTTGTATACAAGTCCCCTTCTCTCTCATTAATTTCATTAAATTATATTTAGGGCCGAGTTACCTCTCATTAATTTTATATTTACTCCTATAGTTACGTGCAATTTCTCTCATTAATTAGTTAACTATTCGTGTAATTAATGCATAATTTTAAATTTGAATTTCAATTTTAGAGCCTAATTGGAATTCTTCTCATTAATTTCGTTAATTAATAACCCACTTTTTCATTAAATTCGTTTTGTTGGTATAAAAAAAATAACTTAGGAACAACAAGATTTGAACTCTAGACATTAGGCTTTAACAACTAGAGATAAACTACTAAGCCACACCGATTTACTTGCTATAAGTTTATGCATTTTTATTTTTAAATATATTTTCTCTTTTTCTTAGTTTATGCTTATCAGTAAATGTTAAAATTAATTATTAAAATTTATGTATTAATAAATATAAAGATAAATTATATTAATTGTTTTAAAACTAATATGTATCAATATCAAGGTTCAAAATATTGATACGCCGGTAGGTTTGTATCGAGCGTTTTGATACTTGTTTTTTACCTTTTTTTTTTTCAAAACTAGTTCAGGGTAGCCGATCTAGGACCCCTCCATCCCCTGAACCGGTCAAACCCCCAATACACCCACTGTAGGGGCATATCGGAAGGGTCCCAGAACAATACGTATCGGCCGATACGGGCCGATACGTAATGATACTTTGAACCTTGATCAATATACATTTTAATTTTTTTTTTGTTTTTTCACGTTTTATTTATTCCATCATTTGTGAATAGTTACTAAGTGTGTCCCGATATCTTGAATTTTATATAGACCATTAAATTACAGTTTTTTATTTTTAAATAACTTATTTACAATCATATAAAACTTGTAACTATCATTATTAATATATTTTTAGGATTTATTTAAATTTTTAGTATATTTATGTATATCTTAATTTTTCGTCTGTATCTATATATCCAAAACATATCCCAATATATCTCTTAAAATTATGTTTCTGATATACCTTACATTTCTGATACTTGAACCGTACATCGCAAAAATGAATGCCATCTCAAAATTAAATTAGGCACCCATCAATTACAATAGACAAGTATGAAACATATTTGAGATGTCAGATATGGGACTATAAGGTGTTGGAAGATGAGTTGTTAACGTAGTAATGTTGGTAGCAGATCTGGGCGTACATAAGGCAATAACAGTTGAGGTAGAAAGGGGTGTACAGATAGATACAAATAAAGACAAAAGCTTAGTTGCTCAATCAATACAATACAATACAAACGATGATAGAATCTTAGGGTTGTCAGAGTGAAACACAACCAGTGACCACAGAAAATTCTAGGACGTCTGGGTATTTATCACTTTATTAGATAGATGAATAGGTGAAGTCGTCTTCGACATGTGAGGGAGAAAGAACTGATAACACCACGAAGGCTCCAAACAGTACCGTAACAATTGAGGTGAAATTGACGAGGTAAGCCTCGGGCCCGTACTTGGCGAGGCCTGAACTCTCCAGGAAGGTCAGCTTCTCCAGAAAACCTAGCATGGCCGTGCCCAGCGCCAGAACATACACAAACAGTCCGAACACTACATGCCAAGGAAGAGACTCGCCTCTAACCGCTGCTGAGCCGCCCGGGTAAAAAAACACTAAGAACCCATATATCCACTGTCAATTTCAAACACCTAAACATTATGAGAACGCAGAAGGAGATAAAAGATTGAATCCATAGAATTCCAGGTTGTTTGTAATGAAGAAGCGTCAACTGCATAAAAACTTGCCATGAATCATAATCATCAACATCAAATAGAACAATTAATGGAAATACCTAAAAAATAAATGCCTATTTACCTGAATTCCATATAAGCAGATGGTTCCGATCCCAATCCAAGAATGCAAGCTATATAGATTGGCAATGTTGCTCTCATTGTGATATTTGAAGGCAGCATAAATTCCCACAATTCCAAGAATGAGCGCGAATAAATGGAGAATTAGGTGTATCAGTTTTTTCACTTCTTTCCTCCAAGGAAGGGCTTTATAGCTTATTATGGCTGCATTTTTCAAAAACTAAAAATAATTATTATAACAAATCAGGGCATTAGTATTTAAATAAAGAAATAGCATGATTTCATTACAAGGATGTCATCTTTACAATATTCTATTTACCTTCACCTCCTAATATAATGAAGCCAATTAACATCAAAACCGGATGAATCTGCAAAATTGAAAAAAAATATGAATTGAGTATCGGAGATGAATAGGTTATGTTTATTGGGTAAACTATGGTGTTTCCAACAAAACAGAAACCCACCCTAATCTTCTAATTAAAATTACTTTTCACTAACCACAAGTTATCTGCTAATCACAAACACCTTAACACTGTCAAACAACATATATAGTTACATGATAATCACAAATACCTTAACAATCATATGATGCAAAACAACTTTTTAGGGTCCGGATTGCCGTATTGGCATACTGTTTGAGCGGTTTAGATTATAGCTACATCTTTTACTTTCACTTGTCTGTATGACATTGGGCAGAAGTGGAAGTCGAAACTTGGGCACATTGAAGAGGATAGAGTTGTTGGTAATATAATCACACATTACCTGTGCATTTGTCAATTGAGGTTTTCTTTTTGAGTTATGATTAGAAGATATAATTGCAATTTCAGAAATGTAAAATGGGTATCTGTTATTGTTGGACACCTCTGTTAGTGCATCTATAACAAATGCCATGTTCTTTGTTAGTGGTAGCTTTGATTATATTTTAATCGGTTCACTATGCTATTTATCTATTGGTTTTTTTTAGCTGTGTTCGGTTGCGTCAATGAAGTAAATGTTTTTGGAAGTAAAAGCTCACGGGTCGGGTTGGATCGGTTTACTGGGGTTTTCCCAACCGACTCAACCTGGTCGGGTTATCTGAGATGGAAACCGAAACCGACTCAGTGTTAAGCAAAACGACCTGGTCGGTTTGAGTCGGGTTGGGTCGGTTTTGGTTTTACTCCTGTACAAAAAGGACATAGAAGTATAGAAGGAAATATCTATTCTGAAAACTGAAATATGTATTTTAGAAATATGTATTTCAGATATTTCGGTTTTTATGCAAAACTGAAATATCTTTATTTAACGGTTTTAAATATAAAATATATTTAAATTAAAATCGAAATATATATTTAAATAGATTAGGTTGTTCATACAAAACTGAAAACTGAAGTTTTTAAGATTTTTTCTGAAAATATATTTAAAACTGAAATATGTATTTTTGTTTATATATATATATATATATATATAAACAAAAATATACATACAAATATATTGGAATATATATTTTCTGGAAATATATATCTCACATATTTCAGAATATATATTTTTTAGATATAGATTTTTTCAGATATTTCAGTTTTTATTTAACAGT